GGGGGGGGAGAGGAACAGTAAACTGTTAAGAATGTTGGAGGCGACACTCAAGCAATGCAGCCAGTGGATAGGGACAGGTTCTGAGTCACACACCAGGGCGCCAACCAATTCCAGAGCATGTGGAAGGTTCTAGAGAAGTGCCACCACCATTGGCTTTTATATATAAGGGAGAGGAGATTGTTAAGCACCAGCGTCAAGACACGTCACCACCCATTCGTCAAGCCCCGCCCATTTTTCTTAGACCCTCCTCTAAGTTCTGCAGCCCTTGGCACGCCCACTGGCCTCCGCTAAGCCCCACCCCATCTTTTCCCCTCTCACCAATGAATTATGTCCACGGTTTAGCAAAACCTCCGAAACGTATAGCTGTTTAGAAAAATTGCCTCTCCCCTTCGCAGATTGTTTCGCTATTGAACCACCTCGATGACACGTTCTTGCTTTATTCTGTTTCAGTCGCGATTTAAAAAAAAAAACACCACTTCTCCGTTCCTTCTCTGGGAACAACCGCCGGTATTTCAGGCAACACTGCGGACACCATGCCTGAAAGTCGAAAGGGCCCCTCTCCCCACACAGTTGCATTCTGGCCAATGTAGTCTGTAAGCCCGTCAGCATGTGCCGGGAGTGCTGCGACGGGGGAGAGGGGCAGGAACTACAGTTCCCAGATGCCTGTGCTAACACGAGGGTGCCTGTGCCTTTCCCTCTTGGACAGGCTGCCCTGGGGAGTGTGGATAGTGCTTAGTGTCAGGCACCTGCTGGGACTGGGCTGCGGGAAGGAAGGTGGGGGGAACCACCTCGGGCTAGGGGGCTCTAGCAGGCCCCCTTGACCCACCTTTGCTGCTGGGGGTCGAGGGGCGGGGAAAGCTTCAGCCTTGTAGCCCCAGTTGTGCCTCATCCTAGAAGGAGGAAGAGAAATCGGTGGGTGCTGGGTGTCGCCCTTCTTGCGCTTTTCTGGTGGGGGTAGGGAGTGCAGTCAAGTGAGTGGGCTTTGGGGGCTCAGGGCTGTAGCTCCTTGGAGGCTGGGTGCGGCGCTTGGAAAGGTGTGTTGCATGCCAGAGGAATAGCTATGTTAGTGTGCTGCCAGAGTGGAGTTTTGGGACACCTTAAAGACTAACCTCTTCATTCTAGCATAAGGTTTTGTATTTCAGAGCCCCCTTCTTCAGATACAGTGAACGAGGGTTCAGTCCTTGTACCTGAAGGTGTGGGCTCCTGTCTGGGAAAGCGTATGCTGGAATAAAACTGAGCCAGCCTTTATGGTACCATGAAACTCCCGTTGATTTCTATTATATTTTGTTCTTTGTGGGGTGAGAGGCTTGTCCTTGTTACACACTCCAGTGTCGTTTGGACTGCTATTGTTTTATTGAGGATGTTTGTACTCCGTCTTTCTTCCAGTGTTTGCACCCAAGGCAGCTTACAAAGCTATAAGGATAGGTTACAGTCATTGGCTTGCTTTTCCTTGTTGGAATGCTGAAAGAGGTAGATTATGATGTTCCTATTTTACAGATAGGAGGCCCGAAGCTGAGAGTGCATGGCTTGCTAAATTCAGCCAGACAGTGGATAGTAGAAGGTTCAATGTTCTGTTGTCCTACAGCTCCTCATAGATCTTGTTGTACCTCTTCTGTGAAAGATAAATGTAGAAGAGTTTGCTATTCTTCCCACTGTACCTTAAAGTAATGTTCTCTTCCTCTCCCTCTCCATTTTTGGTTTCTTGCTTCTCATCACTGTGGGCTCCTCAGACAGCTGTAACCATGGATATCTTTGGGGACCTGCGGCGAATGAACAAACGCCAGGTAAAGCAGAGGGGTGCTTATATTTGTGTGCGCTGTGAGCATGGGTTTGGGTGGGTTTGGATTGTGCTATGTCTGCAAAATTCTGCACTTCGTAATTGGGGTGGGTTCCCAGAGGTGATGTAAACCCCGAGCTGTGTCCAGTGACTTCAAGGCCCAAATGGTTTGGGACTGTGCACCAAAGATCCTCTGCATGATAAGATAATTACAGAGCTTAACGGTGCAAACCTGAGCAAAGGTAATCCTTCTAAGACCAGTGGATTCAGAAGGGTGTAACTCTGTTTAGGATTGCACTTTTAAGTCTTCTAATGACTAGAAGTTGTGAAAATTAGCCACATTTGCAGACAGAGTTTGCTTACTGCGCGTAATGTGTCTCTTGCTAGTTGTAGGACAGTGGAAAGTGCCATCAAATCATAGCTTACTTATGGTGACCCCATGGGGTTTTCAAGGTGAGAGACGTTCATAGGTGGCTTGCCATTGCCTGCCTCTGCCTCATGACCCTGGTATTCCTTGGAGGTCTACCATCAATTTACTAGCCAAGGGCAGCTGTGCCTAGCTTCCAAGATCTGGCTAGCTTGGCCTATCCAGGTCAGGCTTGTTGGAGGATGGTGGAAAGGTTTATGTATGTATCTCTGCTCCTTGATGATTGGAAATTCTGCTCAGCTCTGTGGCTTGAAACTTCACTAGGGAATTACGGAAGCCTCTTTGCTGCCTAAAGGTCCAGAAACCTGTTTAAAAGTAAATGAAAGCCAGGATTGTGTGTGTGCTGAATTTGTGTGCATTGTTTGTACTTGCCTGTTGCGTTGGAGAAATAACACTCATTTTGCCTTCACTGCCTCAAAAACAGGTGTATGAACTGCACTTCCTTTAGAGCAAGATCTAATCTGTCAGGGAAGGAAATGGGTTCCTCTGAGCCATGCAATCGCTGGAGGCCACATCATGCTTGAGTGCAGCACATCGTTTGCATATTGACTTTTTTAGAACGTGGCGGAGGCTGACCTCTAGAAGTTTTGATATATCATTTACTGTTAGTTTTCTTATTCCCTTAAGTGAGGGGGGTGAACAGGCTGCCTCTTGAAAATCCTGATGTTTTCAAAAAAGATGAGCTTTAAGAAGAATGTCTGTTCGCTGTGCTTCCAGAGTTCTGTTGTTTTTGATGTTCGGTCTCCCATTGCAATTTGGATCTTGGTATGGCTGGGTGCTGGAATCTTTTAAATAAATGGTTTCTTAGAGATGCCTAGAGATACTTTGGGAAGAAAAAAGGTGTGGCTCCTCCAGTTAGGATGCAGAAACAAAATGCATAATTCTAGAATTGCTCAAGAGAGAATCTTTTTGGCAAGAGAAAGAAAGAAGAGAGTATTTTATTATCTTGTTAAGATATTAAAGTCCGGGAAATGCAGTGGAAGAATTTCCAGTGTTTTATTTATCTGTGGAATTTTTTCCATTTCTAGAGATTCATTGTTTTATAACATTAGGGGAGGAGTGGCTGCTCGATGGGTGGGGTTTAAATCCAATCTCCTCCTCCTCTTCTTCTTCTAATGGTCTGGTTTAGTATAAGGCAGCTTCATGTATTAATGAGTTTTAAATGCATTAATGAATACATGCCATTGCCAGTATGGTTTTAGGGAAGGTTTACAGTTGCAAAGTTATAATTTATACACAGCAGTTGAATATCATTGTACATTTTATTCTTTTGTAGATGGGGGGGGATAGAATCACAAACATGATATAATAATCCAAATGTTAAAAAACACAAGTTATGAATTTGCCTGTTGGCTCTGTAGGTCAAACCAAAAGCAAAGCTTAAAATTCTCTCACATGGGAGGAGGGATGTTGTAATCGCCAGTCTGATACAGAACTCATGAAAGTTTATAGGTACCCCAGTGACTTCTGTGGTAAAGTCTGATGCAATAGCCAGACAACCACAAAATACCATGTATGTTTTTTTCAATGGGCTCAAATTAGCAATTCAACGGTTTTCAGTGTCTCCCCCCCCCTTAAATTCAAACAACATAGAGAAATCACATGCTGTATTTGAAGTATTACAAGGACGATTCCCATAAAAGTTGTTTCCACATTTTTTAAAATGTTACACGGCCTTCATTTTGCAAGACCTGAGCAAGGTTGTTAACAATAAGACGTTCTGGAGGTCATTAATTCATAGGGTCACCATGAGTCAGAAGCGATTTGAAGGCACAAACACACAAACAGTGGGAGGGCTTCTGGAGTTCTGGCCCCGCTGGTGGACCTCCCAGTGTTTTGGCCACTGTGTGATGGCACCTGGTTTTTGGGTCAGAGTATTGGATTGGATAGGCCCTTGGCCTGATCCAACATGGCTTCTCTTATGTCCTTAACTACATTTTATTTTATTTTTTTCCTGATCAAGTATTTCAGTTCCGGTATTTGTCACTATTGGAATATAAGACTAGCATGAGGTACTTTTAAAATGCGTTCAGTTGCTAATTGAAAATAAACATGCTAAATTAGACCACACTCTGATTTGGGTATCGAAAGGCATGCTCTGGGATTGAGGAGCACATGATTCACGCAACTCCGTCCTTGGCTTAAGAACTCGAGTCCAGTGAACCTGTACAGTGGGTTGCTTGTGGCAAAGATGTCAAGGAATTGCAAACTAGGCTGCGTCTGATGAAGCAGCGCAAACGTACATTTGCCTTCCCTAAAAGGTAAAGGTTCCCTTGCTCGAAAGACAGTCGAATCCGACTCTAGGGTTGCGGTGCTCATCTCCTTTTCAAAGCCGAAGAAGCCAGCGCTGTCCGAAGACGTTTCCGTGGTCATGTGGCCGGCATGACTAAACACCAAGGCGCACGGAACGCTGCTCCCTTCCCACCAAAGTGCTACCTATTTATCTACTTGCAATTTCTTGCTTTCGAACTGCTAGGTTGGCAGGAGCTGGAACTAGAGAGGGGCGCTCACTCCGTCATGCGGCACCCGGGTCTTGAACTGCTGAACTACCGACCTTCCACAGCCTGCAGTTCAGCATCTTAACCACTTGAACCACCGCAGTTCCTTGCCTTCCCTACCTGTATGTAATATTTGAGGAAGTCCGTTTCAGTGTATTTGAAGAAGTGTGCTTCTACACGTGCAGAGTCTCTCTGATCTTGCACGTACCCAGGGTTGAACTTGGTTGGTCTTGGGGGTGCTGCTGGACTCAAGCTTTGTTTTCACATGTTTGTTAGCGCTCGCATTTGTGTGCTCATTTGCCGCCATTCATTGATCTTACCAGGCCGCCTTGATACAATCTCAGCTTTACTTATGCATCTTGGCTCTGACTGGCCCTTCCTGACGGCTGCCCCCCCTCTATTTTCCTGTATGTAGGGGTTGAGGAAATTCTGTTTCGCTGTATCTGAGTAAGTGGGCATGCACACGAAAGCTTGTACCAGGGGTGGCCAGACTTGCTCAACGTAAGAGCCACATGGAATAAACGTCAGATGTTTGAGAGCCACAAGACACGAACAGATATCACACGCACATTTTTATTTTTTAAAAAATATGCAAAGTTGATTTTTATTAACATTAAACGAGACTGCCAAAAATAAAAACAAAAGGGGTGAAAACAGATATTGATAAATGATATTTATTTGTCCAATGATATTTATTTGTTTCCTAATAGTACTTGTCTGAGAGAGAGAGAGAGAGAGAGAGAGAGAGAGAGAGAGAGAGAGAGAGAGGGGGAAAGAAAAACAC